AATCCCTGTCATGGTGGGTCTTCCTCTTTTTCACTGATGTTGTTCTTCAGGGAGTCGACCTCCTTTTGATACATGAGACAGAGCCTTGCCATCCTCCTTTCTCAGGAGCGTCCCAGCTGTCTGTCTCCCGAGACCAGTTTGCCCGATCTCCGGGCAGTCCATGGGCACCGGCTGCTCTTCTGATGAAGATGCGGTCTTCATCACTCAGGGGTCAGTCTGGGATCTGGATGCCTCGTTCGGAGGCATCTTTCTTAGTCATTGTCCGGCTTTCTTTCGCCTGCCTGTGAGGCAACAGAAGCGATCCTGGCTTAGGACAGGCGAGCCCCAGGGCGAGAGTGACAGGTCTGCTCTCTAGCCCTTTACAAAGGTGGATTGCAGCACACTCCCCCCACGCGACACTTCACTGGATGTTGTGACGGCTGCTCCCATGAGTGTTGGTTGTTGGATCCAGTACAATGCAGTCCTTGACAATTTCCACCTCCTCACATTTGTCATCTTCCGAGGGTTGTAGTCCCTTCTCTCTTCCTTCTTCTTGTTCAGTTTAACCATTTGATTTCTTTTTCCACCTTATCAAAACAGTCAATGTCGCAATTTCTGGGACTGATCCCAATAAGTAAAACTCACCCTCTATTTTATTGTCAACCTCGATGTCACGAAACGAATATGTCAGCTTGTTGCCCTTGATCTTCATCCATAAGTGCTTCTATCTTCTTCACTTTCCCCAAGCCGAGTAGTATGTGCGGAGCACAGGTTGTTAGTGAGAGCTCCGCCAGTCCGGTGCCGCGCTGTCTTCATGGAGCGCAGCGTCAGGGCACACGGACGGAGGAAGCACAGGACCCCGATGCACTCTTTCCCCGACTTCAAACCGTTCAACAGTCCCTTGTTCTGTTCGAATGACTGCCTCTTGTTATTCGGACAGTTTTCTGAAGGGGTCCGCTTCTTTCTTCCAGTCTTGTCTGAGTCCGGAAGCTCCACTGAGACCCGACCATGGGTGACGTTGACCAGGGAACTAAAAGAAGTCAGTGGAAAGAAATGTGATGAAGAGAGAGCTGGAATTTGACACGCTGTGACATAGCAACCCACAAGCCACCGCAGTACAACCACGTGGCCATAGAGTGACTGGTGGTGGTCTGGGACTCCCCAGTGCTAGCCTGTGGCCAGGAACTGCCCGCTTCCATGACTGTGCTATATCAGAGCAAATGGTGGGAGAAGAGATGGAAAGAAGAGAGTTGTGACCACAGGCTCCCGGGGCTCCCGCTACCTCCATTACCCTCACTGCCTGCACCTGGGGAGCCAGAGCCCCGGGCGCAGGGACAGGGAGGAACCTGGGCATTTCTTCTTGTCGCAGTTCAGGTCATTGCTTTGCCACTCCTGGTGTCAGGCTCCCTGGAAGCTCTCTCTGCCCCACCGGGTTCACCTCTGGGAGGCTTATTGAGCATGAGCTGTGGGAAAGAGTGGGCACCACATTGGTTCCTTGACCCTTGAACCGGGTGCCCTTTCCAGCCCACCTGCTGCTGTTGCTTTTTTAGCCTCCGGCCACGTTGCATCATTGCGTCCAGAGGAAGAGAGAGGGTGCAGCTTCTGAAGGAGACTATTTACCCCCCCCCCCTTTTCTAATTGGCTCATCTTTCTGGACAGGACGGCAGTTGATGTTGCTCATCAGCGTTCAGTCCAGTGGCCACATTGCCAGGTGGTTTTTTCTTTTCCTTTTTTTTTTCCTTCCTCCAATGAATTATTTTGCCGTTCTTTACGCCTTCATGGAGGGCGGCTGCACATCATGCGTCTCCTCCTTGGACGGCGCAAGTCTCCCTCCCTTTTCCCATTTGCACCTTTCAGCCAGGCTGGTAAGTGAATACAGTTTTCTCCTATTGCTTTGTGAGTCATGGGGGGATTTTCTTGAGACACGCCGCCTCTGCACAAGACTGCACTGCCGGGCCCTTGGGGGTCAGGGAGTCTGGGCGTTGTTCAGCTGAGCTGTCTGAGGACCAGTTCGGAGAACAGCTAGGTGGGAATCACAGCTGACTTTTCCTGGGCGCGGTCTTGTGAGCTCCTCCGGTTGGGTGTCATTTCAGAACCGATTTGCAGACAGCTCTAATAACATGCAAATCTTTGCAGAAATCTCACCTGAAGCGGGGGAGCTGGCAGCTGCTCCCTGGCACGCTCCCGAGTGGGACACGATCTCGCTGGACGTGCGAGCTCACCCGCTGCTTGTCATCCAGAGTCCACGGGGACATTTGACTCACTTCCTGTCCTCCTCACCCCCAGCGATGGTTAAGAAACATTCAGCCTCCGCACCCGAGAACTAGAGACGGCGATCTAACCTTGGCCGCTATACTCTAGCGGAGAGACACAAGGCACTTGAACAGCGGGGGTCAGTAGAGGCTGACAGAATGCTGACAGAATGCCGGCTTGGTGGGAGGGTCGAGGGAAGGCCCCCTTGAACTGCTCCAGCTGCCCCTTAAAAATGCGGCGGGACGGTGCTGGTGAAAAATCTGGACGAGGCCATGGGCTGCCAGAGTGAACACATCTGTCCTGAACACCAGCCAGCATGCTCTTTAGCTGTGGGGCTGCGGGGCCTTGGCCTTGGCCCTGGCTGCGGTGGGAGTATTATCTGGAGGCACCAGCCTGTGGGGGAAACCAGCCCCTCACACTATCACAAGTCCGGTAGACACGATCGTACAGTTATGATATATAAAGATTATGGTAAAGTCATAGAGAATAAGAGAGAGAGAAGAGAAGGTAAAATAAAGGAGTCAGACACATTTCATGGTAGCTTGCTCACCTCAGCCCAGATGACCGCATATGCAACAGGAAGGGGCCATACAGTAGGGGGCATAAGCATGACAGGAAGTGGATGAGCTAGGGGCGTACATCTAATAGGAAGGGGAGGGGCTAGGGTACACGTGACAAGATGGGCGGACCCTAGACTCAGGATGGCTACCTAACCTTGGTCACCCTTGCTTGACCTCCCTGGGCTCTCCTTCAGGGAAACAATCTACTGCCCTTCTCAGAAGGGAGTGGGCCCTACTTAGGGTGGGACAGACTAAACAGACTGATTGCTCTAGATGACTGACAACCCTTAGAGAGAATAACCTCTGACCTGCTTTCACTGACCTCCACGTGGACAGTTGTTTGCCATGTGCAGCAAGCAGCTAGGTGTGGCATGTATGTGGGGGAGACAACGTGGGAGAAATCTTTCTGTATCCCACACCAGTCCCTGGAGGAAAGGACGTCGGGGCGCTTTGCAAAGTCAACAGCAACTTAGAGCCAACCCCTTGGTGAGTTGGAGTGACAGGGAGGCCACAACAATAAGATCAGACACACAGGGGCCCAGTGGTTGGTGCTGTGGTTAGGTAAGGCTTCCTGCGGGTGCCGGGGGTGAGCGTTGGCTCCTGAGAGCCAGGTCATGGCTCAAACCCATCTTTGCAGGAGAAAGGGGAGGCTGTTGGCCCCTGTCAGGATGTTGTCGTTAAAGCACTTGAGCGTCCACCCAAGGCGTCACCCTTGGCTTCTCCCTGTGCACAGACAAAAAGAGTGATGGAAATTTTAAGGACCATGGAAACCATGTGTCCAAATCAACCTTAGTGCCTTGGAGTTGGGCTGACTCCTAGCGAGCACCTGGGACAGAGCGACACTGACCTTGTGAGTCCGGGGACTGTTGGCTGTTTGCGAGTCGAAAGCCCCGGCTTTCTCCCCCAGAGCCATGGTGGTTTCCAACTGCTGGCCTTGCTGGTCGCGGCCCAGGGTGTAGCCACCACACAGCAGCGCCCCTCATGGGCTAAAGGACCGCAAGGGATCACCCAGAAGGCCCTGGATAAAGAGGGAGAACAAGCTAGGGGGAAACTCTCCACATGATGGGCAAGCCAGATTCCGGCCCCTCGAATTGAACTCGACACCAGGAACCATCAGCCACTGGAGATCCAAAGGTCAGCCTTTACCCAGAGACGAGGTCAGAGGGTCAGGAAAAGAGGAGGAACCTGGGGAAGAAGTGGGGTGAGTGATGGCCTGTTGAGGGGACTGGCACCGCATTTGTACAATTGTCGAATGGGAAGCGGACGGCATGTCCTGGAGGGCCGATGGGAGTGGGAATCAACTCGGGCACCGTGGGTTTGGGTCTTTGTTGTTGGGTGCCTTGAAGTTGATTTTAACACCTGGGAGATCCCACTGAGAACTGCCCCAGAGGGTTTCCTTGGCTGTGACCTTGATGTGGGAAGATTGCCAGATCTTTCCAGCAAGGAGCCCGGTGGGGGGTGGGGGGTGTTCAAACAGCCACCCTTTGGGCTAACAGCTGAGCACCGAACCATTTGTTCTCCACAAGGCTCAACGGGGCCATCAGAATCAAAGGTTCCTTCCTCAGGCTTCACTTCTCCACCCGCAAGGCATGGATTTGTTTGGGGCCCTCCGAAAGCCTCACTCGGGCCAATACTCTGCCCAGATCCTCCCAGCCGCGGGAGTCCAAGTTCTGAAAATCAGCGCCCAAGAGTCAGCGATGGCCTCGCTTCACCCTTGCTGCTCTCAGGACTGCAGGGATTAACATGGGCAAGCTTCCCGGGGGCCCAGGAAGAACGAGTGCCCTGGTTTTGTTGTCTCTGCACCATCTCCAGGTTCCCCCGATTTTCCCCAGACACCCACAGCTGAGTCTTTCTGCCCACCCGGGAGAGATGGCTGAACTTGGTCACTCAGAGCCCCAGGTTTCCAATGATGAGCCTGACCCACAGGGCCCTGGCACTCACTATCAATATCGTTTTGCTTGACCACGACAGTCTAGGGTTCTGGGACAGATGCTCCTGAGCGACCCAGCTTCACAGGGCTACCTCGTGTCCCCTTCTGAGGGCCACCAGCCTCATTTTAGCCCCACAGTCCACAGTGTCTTGAGGGTTGGGCCCTGGGGGCTGCCGTCAAAGAACCTGCCTCAGGCAGCCACAGCACACATGGGCCTGAGACACAACAGCCATGACCAGAGAGGGCCGGCTGACCACCTTTTCCTCTCTCCCTTGCAGGTCACTTCTAACGACAAGCTCCTAGAGAGCCTCAAGCATGCAGGCGGGCTCCTGCGGGCCCTGGAGCAGCTGGGCACAGCAGCCACGTAAGTGCGGGTCGACTAGAGAAACAAATCCAGGGAGACTCACATGTGTACAAGGAGGAGCTTTCTATAAAGAGTAATCGTTTATTAAGACAACATCCCGGCCCAGTCCAGATTCAAGTCCATCAGTCCTTGTTAGCCCATCTGTCCAATACCAGTCTATAAATTCCTCTTTCGACTCATGCAACGCATGCAATGACACTGAGTGCAGGACGATCACAGGCCAGTGGGTGGAAGGTCTTGTGGATTCAGTGGCGGTGGAAGCATCTCAGGCTGGCATGGGTCACCACGTGGTTCCTCCAGCTCCAGGGCTCTGGTTCCATCAGCGTAGCTCCATGTGGCTTGTCAACAGGAATGTGTAGCAGACAGAGTGTACGTCTGGCCTCCAGTGAGCTATATATCTCCTTGGTGCCTCCAAATGAGGTCATCAAGCTGCAACTTGATTGACAGGCTAGACCCCACCCCTTTCTCAAATTGACCGGAAAAGGTATAACTGCCACACAGGGTCTCGCCTATTCCCTTCTTCCCTCCTCCTCCCCAACATTTTCACTCTTAAAGCCCACCTCCTTCTAGGCAATCACTGCCACAGAGACCCCTCCCAATCTACCTTCCTGCGCCCAGGTGTTCCCTGGGCCCCAGGAGAAGGCCCACTTCCTCGTGGATTGAGTTTCCCTGGGTGTATAAGACACAGAGAGATGGCAGTGTTTCTTGGTACCTTCCGTTTTCAAACCTAAAACAAGCTATGTGTGTGGGGATAACACATACGCATATATGTGTGTACATTATATATTATGTATTTTTTATTAGTGTTTGATTAATATTCTGACTGCACAAATGTGACATTGGAATTAACTAGTGAGAATAAGGGGCATAGTCTGTTTGCCAGATATATAAATATATGTTTGGGGGCATACACACACACAAAACTAGCATCTTTGCCCTTGTTCAGTGTGGGGGGTCAGGGGTATTGATCACGTACACAGTGTTGTACAGCTGCCATTCCTGTTGATTCCAACATTTGCTCATCACCCCAAACAATACCTCTGTGCACTTTGAGCCACAATCGCCACCCTCTTGCCCCTTAGCCCCTGGTGACCCACCTCTAGTCCACTTTATCATTTTGGTGAATTCTTAGACTCTGGCTCCATGCATAGGGTGATGCGTGGGGCTGCTGACTTGGAGGTCAGCAGTTCAAGACCCTCCAGCCCCTTTGTGGGAGAAAGAGGAGGCGTTCTACTCCTGTAAAGAGTTACGGCCCGGAAACACATGGGCAGTTCTCCCCTGCCCTACAGGGTCACCGTGATTCGGCATGGGTCACTCGATGGCAGTGGGTTTGGCTTTGTTGTTTTTATTTGGGAGATGTGTGTCCTTTTGTATCTGACCGACTCCTCTTTGTATAATGATTTCGAGGTCCGTCCGGGTCCTAGCCTGTAGGAGGACTTCCGGGCAGAGTAATATTGCATTGGATGGATATACCACCCCATTGTTCATCCCTTCAGCTATTGGTGGACATCACTGTGACTGCCGCCACCATGAGCAGTCGTGTGCACCTATCTGTCGGAGTCCTTTGACGTGGCCTGGCTGGGTCACATGGTCGTCCCTTGATCGTCGTCTTGAACAACTGCCAGACTCTCCTCCAGCGGCTGCGTCCCTGCAGGTTCCCACCAGCAGCGCTGCTCTTGTTCATGTGTCTTGTGTTGTCTCGGATGGTCCTTATCCTGGGGAGGATGAAGGGGCTTCTCCCTGTATTCCCCTCCTCCCTAATGTAACAGTATGGACGGCTTTTTATGTGCCCACTGGCTGTCCACCCGGAGGGATACCTACTCAAGCCCTCTGGCCATGGTTCAAATGAACTGTTTGTCTTCTTACAATTGAGTCTATTTAGAAGGCCCCTTCCTCACCCTTGGGCGCTACTCACGGTGTAAGGCTTCCAAACAGCACGTAGCATCCATCCTCAGGAATCTCTGGCCTTGCCCAAATAACCTGAGCAGATCTGTGCTGAAGGGGGTGTGTAGGGAGAGCAGCCAAGAAAACTTTAGTAGAAGGGCCCTCTGGCTCCACATCAAGCAGGGGCCCCAGTTTGCCTGTTAGGCCAAAGCTAGTACATCCCTAAGGCTGGGCTGAACCCAATGTGTAAAAGAAGAAAGCCCAGTGTCTCATGAGGCAGGCGGTCTCTCCTGCACCCACCCCAGACGCTGCTACGGCACCCACACCAGGCAGAACTAGGGTTGGGTGGAGAGCTTGCCACGCCTGGTGTCGCCTTCAGGCTTTGTTCAGATGACCCAGCCAGAACAGATGGACAGGAGTGTTCTTGGTTACCATGTCCCCTGGGATGGCCCTGGTGGGCGGGACAAGGCAGCCTGACCCCCCAGATGAGCCTGGACTCAGCGAGATCAAGCAGAACCTTTGATGAGCAGACAGGAATGCACACCACCATCTTTGGCCACAATCCAGTCTGTTATGTAGCATCCCCCCACCCCTGCCCCCAGTTATTTGGCAGCAAGTCTATGTCTTTGTAGTTGACAGTGAGAGTGTCACAAGCTAATTTTATGCTTCAAGGGGCGCTGCTCGCTGCATGTCCATCTTTGGTGCAGCGAACCCACCAACCAGTGGCCCATGGGGTCAACAGTAGCTCCTGGCACGCTCCTGCGGGCTCAGCGTAGACCTGTGCTCCCAAGTTTGCAGTGGCTCATTTTCATTTGTTGTCTTTCGTTTTCTTTTGAGTGTGAATTGGGCGAAGGTTTACAAAGCAGGTCAGTTTTCCACTCAGCAGTGCATGCCTCCTTTGTTTCCTCGCGGAGAGCAGTGCCCACCACGTGACATCGCGTATCCCCGTTACTCCCCTGTGTTTGTTTCCTGTCTCCGTTCCCCCTCTTTTCCAAACCCTTCGGGGAACTCCGTGTGTGGGTCATTGCTCCCTTGTTCTCCAGCGGGCGAGTTCGTGTCCAGACCCAAAGGGTGAGCAAGGGCCAGAGTCTTGGGGCCTCGGGGGTTCCACCTTAAGCCTGGTCTGTTTTATACTTTTGAGTTTGGTTCCCTATTTTCTCCTACTTGATTTGATTCCTTTCCGAGCAGTTGGGTGTGGTGACCGGGCATCAGCCTGCTCTCCTGGTCTCAAGGCTGTGGAGCCTGATGTGAATGTGCCCACGAACCCACCACCGGGACGCATGGGTTCCTGTGTCTTCCCATTTCATTCACTCTTCTTCCCTCCAGACGGGGAAGAGACCAGCAGTGCCACTTAGATGGCTGCTCACAGACTTGGAAATCCAGCCACTGCTCTCAGGAGGAAGATGCACAGCATTGTCTCTGTGGATGATGGGACGCCAATCGGTGGTGGCATCTGTCCGCTGAGACTATGATCCTGGCCCTTAGGCCAGTGGCTCATTCCCTCAATGTGTACACATAACATCTTTCCACTCGATCCATATGCACAGGTGTTGCCCCACTTTCCCGCCCACACCTGTCCAGCCTGGGTGCCTATCCAAACAGCTTCTCGTAGATCACGGCTATTGCGGGGCTGTGGATATGACAGGATTGAGCATCACTCCCAGACTCTCCCCAGGGCCTTCCCAGCTCCATCCTTTCTGCCCACCTCCCTCTTATTGTAGGTTGCCTTCCCCTTCACCCAAGTGAACCTGTGTCCACTCTACAGCCAGGTGCCCTAGTGGCAGAGTAGGTTATGTATTGGGTTAGTAACCACAAGGTTGGCAGTTCAAAGCCACCAACCCCTCAGAGGGAGAAAGACAGAGGCTTTCTACTCCTGTAAAGAGTTTCAGCTTTGGACACCCACAAGGACAGTTCTACCCTGCCCTGTCCGGTGGCTATGAGCATGAGTCGGAATTTTGACCTTAGAGCCAGTAACTTGTGCTCCCCCTCTGCCTCTGTGGCCATCATTGTTCCTTTGTGTGTGAAAACTTTCTCTGGACTTCGTACCACAGTGGTCTCATACAACTGTTGTCACTCACTGGCTCGTTCCAATCGGTGACTGATTTTTCCACAGCCGATGGATGACAAGCCTTTTCCCCAAGGCACCTCTGGGAGTACTTGAATCTCCCAGGCTTGGGTGAGCAGACACCCCAGAATGACTCCTCACCACTGTTAGGGCACATACTGACCATGGTTTCAAACCATCTGCCCGCCGCCAGTGTCTCCTTGAAGCTCCGAGGTACACATGCACACCTCGAAGGATAAGCCCTGGTGGAGACGGTTCCTGCCTGAGAGAGCCCAGCACCCACAGGGCAGCTCCAGGCAGGAGCTGGGCTCTGGCTACCCGTGGTCTGATGTGCCCTGACAGTCAAGGGCCTCCTCCCCGAGGAGGTTCAGACAGTGCGTGGTGGACAGGACTGGGAGATCGAGGCCCACTTGGGGACCGGGATGTAGTAGTGAGTCTCACTTACGGGCTCAGGATCCTGGGTCTCCTGCTTCAGTGTTGCAAGAGGATGCTTCCCATTCCCACCCCGCCAGATGACTGACAAGCCCCTTTCTCCTTTGGTTTTTCTCTCAGAGAGTCGGCCGACCATGCAGTCGCCTCCTTGGCCTTGGAAATCCTTCATGCCGTGGGGCACCAAGGGAGAAGGCAGTAGGCACAGACTCACCCTGCAAGCCGTAACCCCCCAGCACTGGTGAAGCTGGCTCCGAACCTCGGCTGTATTCTGGACTCTTAATAAAGTCTGCTGACCCAGAACCTTCCGGCTGAGGTGCTTCTGGCTCCCCCTGGGCCTGAGAGTGCCCTTCCTGGGTCTGGTGGGTACCCCTGGGAAGCCCAGGTCGGGGCACTCTGGGTGGGCCCGCAGGCCTCCAAGGACGAGGCGCCACATTCCTGGGCCCATCTGGCTTCTGTGTGAGCCTCTCTGGGGAGGATCTGGGAGGCAGGATCGGGCACGAATGCTCCCCTGGCTGCTGTGCCCTGGCTCTGGAGCTAGCTGGAGCCTGACTTCCTCCCAGGTTCCCAGCATGCTCCTTTCCTTTGGGGAGAAACTCATTCCAGGAATTCTGGGGAGAACTGGAAGGCACAGGTCCTTAAGAATCTGCCTAAAAGGGATGGCTGGCTTCTCAGGGCAGTGGGGGTGGAGGAGGCTTGCCTACCTCTCCCGACTTCTATCAAGTACCCCCTTGCCCCTGGAACCTCTCCAGCTCCATCCTCATGCTCCCTCACACCTTTGCCCCAGGCGTCCCTAGGTAGAGCTGGGCGGCAGGCGCTATGGAAGTAGGAGGCAGGGGACGGGCTCTTGTCTGGGATGGAGCCACTGGAGGCCCTCCCTGGGCCTCTCTTAGGTCTCAGCTGTTTCCTCATCTGCAGAATAAAAGGGCTAGACTAGCTTTGTGGGTACTCCCCCCTCCCCGCTACCCCCCTCCAGGTGGGGTTCTGTCCATGCAGCAGCCTCCTGTATAGAAAACAGGCTTCTCTGCAGAGGCAAAGGGAAAAGGGAATGATGGCCCAGTCAGGCTGCCACCCTGCCCAGGATGCCCAGCCAAGGGTGCCAATGTTCCACGTGTCGAACCTCAGACCCTTGTGTGGGCTTTCCTTGGGAGGGGAAGGCAGTCTACGTGGGGTGTAGAAGCCCCGTCCAGTGCACCCAGAGAAGGGTGAGTGAGCCAGCTGGCTGGGCAGGAGGAGGCCAAGGCCCCTGTCAAGGATCCCAGGCTCCTGGGAGCCCCTGGTCCTCCCACCACACAGTCAGCTGTTTGCTCTGGAAGCTGAGCTTCCCCTGGGATGGATGGATGGATGGCTAGGTGGGTGGATGCCTGCATGGAGGGAGGGATGGTGGGTTGATTGGTGGAGGTGCATGGGAAGCACAGGCCTCTGGAAGGGTCCAGGTGAGTAGCTACCCGGGGCCTCCATTTTCTCCTGCCATAATCCACAGGCCCCGCTTTAAGACCTGCCTCTGACTGGAAGCCTAGGAGAGATGTCGTCCATCCGTGAAGGGTCATTTGGTGTGATTCTGGCCACAGGGCAGCCGACAGTCATCATGGGCACATGGCAACAGCCTATGGTCTTCTGCTCTTAGCACACGTCTAGCTTCTCACATCTATCCCATTAGCTCCCACAGTCCTCCCTCCAGTGCTGTGAAGATTCAGGCAGGGGAGGCATCGGCCATTTCTAACTCGGACCCAGGGCGCTGGGCAGTTTAGGCCTTCATCAGAGGTGAGTAATGGACATCCAAAGTGGGTCGTTCCTGCTTCCACTGAGAGCAAAATGCTCCTCCCTTCCTCACGGGCGGCCACAAAAATACAGCATGGAAAGAATCCACTTACAAGATCTCCGCAAAGGCACTGAAGTAGGGGCGCAGGAAGGAACGTGAGGTGGGGAAGCACCAAAGGTAAGGCTTCAGAACTGTCTGGAGGCTGAGGGGGTAAGGTGGGGCGGAGAGGGTAGGCAAAGAGCAAGATGGTGTGGTCCTTGTGGCATGCACAAGGTGAGCCACAGGAGGCTCTAGGGAGATAGTCTGTGAATTACAGAGCTTTTCCTGAGCTACATCTCCCCACTTTGTTTAGGAGCCCTGGTGGCGTAGAGGTTATACATTGGGCTGCTATCCGCAAGGTCAGCAGTTCGAAGCCACCAGTCGCTCCTAGAACTCCTGTACAGTGAGTCTGGGAAACCTACCAGGGGCAGTCCTACCCTATCCTGAGTTGGCATCGACTTCATGCCAATGAGTCCCCACCTCAGGCCTCTTATCTAGGGCTTGATGTTGAGACTGTGGTGGGCAAGAGGGGATACAAATTACCCCTTGGGTTGCTTAACATATGTTGCATCAGTAATGTTCAACCTATGAGTATGATAAAAGGACTCGAGTATCAGAAGATAGCAGAAAGCGACACCCCCAGTCCCCTATAGCTAGCCCCTCTCCTTCCCAAAGGGCACAGGGTCACCCCCTTGTTATTCTGCCCCCACCTATATACACTTCAAAAAATCCAAATGGCAGCAGCTGCAAATTCTGCTCCTGGCCTGGTTTGCTCAAGGTGTTTTGAACATTTTATCAGAGCATAGCTTTCTGGCACTGCCCCCCACACCCACCTCCAGCTGCAAAGTGCTCCACTAAAATGGGTGTACAACTTACCTACTGGTCCCCGAGTGCCGGCTGCTTGTATCACTGTTTGCAAGTGTTGCGTAAATACCTGTATGTATTAAGCATTGAGATGCACAAACTGCCCTCTGACCTCTCGGGATAGAGGGCCCCAGATCTGGAAGCAATACTTCAGAGCAAGTGTTTATTAACTTCTGCCATCCAGCTTGGTTCAGACATTTGCCAGCCCCTGCTTTCAAGGGCCCAAACCCCTGCCCCCACCAACTTAAAACTGTCAGAGAGCATGAGAGTGCCTTATCAGAGCCCCAGGGCCACCCCAGGTCCCTGAAACAATACTTGCAAGTTAGTGATACTGTACTCATCATCAGTGCTGGACACAGCTGGCTGGGAGGTGGATCAGAGCCATGCAATACATTATGGAAAGTAGTTTCACTCGTTTGCTACTTACATGCAAGTTGTAAAAAAAAGAATTGACACTGGATTGATTTTTAGACCGTTCCTCTTGTATGGTGCTAAAGCTGGATATTCTTATGTAAGAAGGCCTTGTTGTTTTTTTGTGGCTCGTTAATTAGCATGATGTCACAAGTTGTGAATAGTGATGTAAGGAATATTGTGCCATTGTAAACGCCCCAATTGCGTCTAAATTTGAAAAGACCAAAGGGCTACATAAAGTCTGTGGGAGCCACTGAAATAAAATGTAATGTGATGTATTCGCAAACTTTATTTCAAGCCCCTCCAAGTGTGAGGCAGGATACCATTTTTTGTGTAGGTAATATGAGGGACACGATGTTGGAATTGCAAATCATTTTTATAAAAATGTCTCAGAATGTTCAATGAGCCTCATTTTTTACAATGTAAATAATACTACCTTAAAATCATGAACTTGTGCCTTTTAAATTTTTACATATGGAATATTTTAGAGGAAAATTAACTTGGAACACAAGAACTGTTTATTTCCAACTTTTTGCATTCCATTTCTAGTCTTAATAAAACCAATACACCTTCGACGCACCCCAATCTTCAGGGCACAGATCACGTGCCGTGTTATTGATTAGTTGTATTACTGGTGATTGCGTTAAAACAAGGCAGGAAAAAGAAATCTTACGTGAATTCTGTCGCGGTGTTTTCCATCATGGGTCCCCCGGTAAGTACCCCATGTGCACACAGTGGAACGTACTACTTGGACTTTCAGTCAGTACAGGGCCGTGCGGCAGCACAGCCTTGAGTTCTTGTTCCTGCCCTTCTTCCAGCTACTCCAGTAACCCTCAAGTTGGACCTCTCCAGGACCATGGGCCAAGGTTCGTGAAGTACCTTAGGCACATCACTGCACCCTTCAGAAGAGGAGTAAGAACCACCGCTCTGAAACGACCTGCATTCTTCCCTCCAGCATGTAACTTCAGTGTTTCATGCCACCACACCCCCTGGTAATGCATACAGCCCCAGCCCGGGGGCTAGGCTGGCCCTCTCTGAGGACTGTCACTCCCCCGTGTGGGAGGGGCGTGGCTCCAGGGGGGGTGGCGGTGGGGGTGCCACATAGGATGCTGAGGGATCAAAGGAAAATCATTGCTTTCTCAGCAGCCCCTCCTACTACTCTCACTTGCATTTAAGTTGCCAATCTGCTCTAAGCAAAGAAAGGCTGTTGCCTAATAGATGCGACAAAGCACTGCACTCCCTCAACTCCACGCTGGGCTTTCCCAAGCCAACAGCACAATTCAGATGGTTTTTATTAGAGTAATCCAAACAAGACCCTATTTGTCCCCAACCCTCCCTCCATCAAGGATTGAAACGACCGGATCAGTCTCATGTGTACATCTGCTCCAACACAGCACTTTTCTTCAGCTCACTGGTGGTCCGGCATGCAGACCCACAGCTGTCTTCTAACGGGTAAAATGGAGTCATGCTGGAAGGCCCTCCTGGCCAGACACGTAGCACTGTATTTGAGCGGTGCCCTCCCTCCTCTATCACTTGTTGGAATTGGGAATGATTCCTCACGGCTCAGTGTTTCTCATTACAGGTAACTTTAGACATGGGCAGCATTGGTGCCCCCCGCCATGAATCAGTGAGATGGACAAAGCCCTCCGGTATGTGTGAGTTGCCTATGTTCAGTGAGATACACCCATTGAGTGGTATGAAGCTGTCGGTCTGCACTGCAACCTGGGATTACTCTCTTGTAGGAATATCAAGCTTGGGTATCAGGTGGACTATTACTTGATGCCCCACCAAGCTGCCATAACGCCCGAGGCTTTTTTGCTCTGTTCATGAATGTTTCTGCACTAGTTTCCCCTCTACATGCTGTGCCCCATTGTCCACGCTGCTGAGGCCCCTGTGGGGCTGGCAGCGAGCGGGGTGTGCAGTTGCCCCACTGCAAGAACACCTATGTCTCCTTTGAAGTCATTGCAATTTTTAATTGTTGCTAACCTGATAGGTGTACAATGAATGACTCACTTGGTATTAACCCAGCACCATTTAGTATTTCTTGGATATCTGTAATCCATGCGTATGATCCATTTAGAAGCTGCTTCAGTTTTACAGGAGCACTTCACAGATTTATGTGTTCCCTTTTTGGATGATCTTTTGAGTTTGTGGTATTCTCATTTTTGTAACACGTTTTTCTTCAGGAGCCCTGGTGGGGTATAGTGGGTGATAAGCAGCTCAAACC